AGCTGCCCTTCCCCACAAGCCACACTGGGGACCGCAGTGCCTGTCCCCGGCTCTCCTCCTCCCCCCCAATTCCCTGGCTCTCAGGAGCTACTAGTTTCGGGTCCACTCAAGGTCTGTTCCTTGCTCACTGACTGGAGACCCTTGCAGCCCCCGTGGCCCTCCTGCTCCTTGCACAGCGATGATATCACTCACCATCACCAGAAGAGCTTCCCAGAAAAGCTCCCCCATTCAAACTGCCCACCCGTGGGCCACTATGTGGCTCAACCATCCTGGAGGGCATAGACAAAAGGCCCCACCCACAGCCCAGCTATGAAAAAGCCCGTGCAAACTCATGTGCGTCTTGTCCCCAGGAGCCCACACTCTGGGACTGACAATCCCAAGTGAAGCCTTTGAGATCCCGGGCTTTGGAGTGAGCCTGGGCCCAGACTATGTCTCATAGTTACTGTGTGACTGCTGAGCAGTCACCTCACTTTCTGAATGTCCATTTCTTCACCTGTAGAATGAGGAGGAGGATGCCGCCCTGTGTGGCTATCAGGAGGATTATGTTAGATCATAAGGACAGTTCCAGGCAGTTCTAGGCACCTTATGTTCATGGGATCCTCACAATGACCGCAGGAGCTGAGTGCTGTTATTAGCTGCATTTTGCAAATGAGGAAACTGAGCCAGAGAAGGTAAGCGACTCGCCCAAGGTCACGAACTATCAAATGGTAGAGTCAGGATTCAAACCCAGGTGGCTCCAGCACTAGTGTGCTTAACAACTGAGCCATGCTCTCTCCCTGGGATGGTCCTGGCTGAGTGCCTAGCAGAGGGTGTGGCCCTGGCGCGTGCTCAGAAACACTATTTTCCTTCCTCCTCTCTTCCTCTGTTTAAGTATCAAGGTTCTCCAGGGGATATTATTGACCAAAGTGTGCTCACCCAATTTAGGAACTCCTTGGCCACCCTTCTGGCCTCCTCAAGCCTGGAAACTGGTTTTCTTTTTCTTTTTTTGAAAGATGACTGGTAAGGGGATCTTAACCCTTGACTTGGTGTTGTCGGCACCACGCTCTCCCAAGTGAGCCACGGGCCATCCCTATATGGGATCCGAACCCATGGCCTTGGTGTTGTCAGCACCTCACTCTCCCAAGTGAGCCACGGGCCGGCCCTGGAAACTGGTTTTCTAATGGACCTCAGAGCCTGTTGTAAAGGTTGTACCCAGCTGTGGCAGCCCGTCTGCAGCACCACGTGGCTTTGTTCCTTCTAGGAAGGCATGTCAAACACCTTGTTCCTCTCTTGCCATTGCACTCAGGCCACTAATGAGGGAGTCCCCAGAGAAATTGTCCCCCAACTGTGAGTTCTCGTCCCACTGGGGTCGTGGGACGATCTGTGTTTTTGTTAGCTATTGCACATATCAAACCACCCACTTCTAGAGGGTTGAATTTTGTTACCCCAAAATTCATGTCCACCTGGAACCTGTGAATGACCTTATTTGGAAATAGAATCTTTGCAGATATACTCAAGTTAAGATGAGGTCATACTGGATTAGGGTGGGCCCTAGAGCCAATACAACTGGAATCCTTGCAAGAAGAGGGAAATGTGGACACAGACACACAGGGAAAGTGACATGTGGTGATGGAGGCATGGATTGGAGTGATGCATCCATAAGCCAAGGAATACCAAGACTGCCAGCAACCACCAGAAGCTGGGAAGAGGCAAGAACTGTTCCCGAGAGCCTTCAGAAGTAGAACAGCACTGCCGACATCTTGATCTTGGACTTGTGGACTCCACAAGTGTGAGAGAATAAACTTCTATTTTTTTATTTTTATTTTTAAAAATTTTTTTGTCCTTTTTGAGACCGGCCGCACCGCGCTCAGCCAGTGAGCGCTGTGAGCGCACCGGTCATCCCTTTATAGGATCCGACCCCGTGGCGGTGCCGCACTCTCCCGAGGGCGCCACGGGCTCAGCCCTAAACTTCTATTTTTTTATTTTTATTTTTAAAAATTTTTTTGTCCTTTTTGAGACCGGCCCCACCGCGCTCAGCCAGTGAGCGCTGTGAGCGCACCGGTCATCCCTTTATAGGATCCGAACCCGTGGCGGTGCCGCACTCTCCCGAGTGCGCCACGGGCTCAGCCCTAAACTTCTATTTTTTTAAGCACCCAGTCTGTGATAATTTGTTTCAGCAGCCCTAGGAATCTAACACCCTCCTGAAACCTGGTGGTGTAAAGCAGTGAGGGTTTCTTTCATCTCCATTCTGTGGGTTGCTGGGCTTAGCTGGGTGGTTCTTAGCTGCACATGGTGTCAGCTGAGGTGACTCAGGCTGCAACCAGCTGGGAGCTGGGCTGGGGCCTCAATCACATGACTGGCAGTTGGTGCTAGCTATTGGCTACCTGGGATCTCCTCCATGTGGCCCCTGATCTCTATGAGGCTTCTCTAGCAGGGTGGCCTGGACTTCTTTACATAGCAGCTGGCTTCCGGAGTTATATGCGGAAGAGGCCAGAAACAGAAGCTGCAAGGCCTCTTAAAGCCTAGGATCAGAAGTCCCAGAACATTGTTTCCACTGCATTCTATTGGTCAAAGCAGGTCACACGGCCCATCCAGATTCAAAGAAAGGGAAAATAGGGGGCTGTCCAGCTAGCCCAGTTGGTTAGAGTGCAGGGTTATAACACCAAAGTCAAGGGTTCAGATCCCCATACCAGCCAGCTACCAAAAACCCAAGAAACAAAAAGAGGGACAACAGACTTTACTGTTGGTGGGAGGTGTGACAAGCACACAATGAAATTAGGCGCTTGAGGGCCGGCCCGGTGGCGCACTGCTACAGTGCGCTGCTTGGGAGCGCTGCGGCGCTCCCGCCGAGGGTTCGGATCCCACATACAGACTGGTTCCCGCTCACTGGCTGAGTGAGGGGCGGGCGCAGCACCGAGGGTTGCGATCCCGTTGCCGGTCCCGGTCCGGTACGGGCGCGACACTGAGGGTTGCGGTCCGTTGCCGGACACGAAAAAAAAAGACAAAAAGAAATTAGGTGCTTGTGAGGGGAGGGACAGTTTTGGCATCTTTGGAAACAACTCACCACTGTGTGTGTGTTTTGGCGGAGGCCTCTGTCAAGGGCCCCAGAGATGTGCTTCCTGTTGATGGAGGCTGAGGTAGGAATTGCTCTGCCCAAGTGGGAGCCCCCAGACCCATGAGCTGCAGGCCAAGCTCAGCCATCAACTCACTGGCGACCTGGGCCGTTCACTCAATAGTTTATTGCGCACCTACCATGAGCCAGGCCATGAGCTAGGCCCTGGGGTCCCAGGAGTAAACATGTCAGGTCCCTGTGGAACTTTCGACGAGTGGAAGAAGAAAAGCACATAACTAGACACACTGATCACAGAGCATGACGAGTAGAAGGAGAGCTACAGGGGGTGGGCTGGAGCTGCCTCTCAGGACAGGAGGCTGGGACGAGCCTCAGGGGCAGAGACCTGGGGGGCGAGAAGTCCTGCCCATTCTGGCTAAACCTGGCCCTGGTTTCCTCCTCCAGACATTCAGAGTGTTGGTCAGAGCTATAAACTCAGACTGGGTTCTCTGAAATCCTACAGTTCCCCAGAGGCACCCCAGGGGCTACTGCAGAAGGGGTTGAGCAGAGGTCATCTAAAGTTCAAGACTAACTGGGCTCAAAACTTCTGGGTGGCTCCCGAAGTCTAGTTCCCAAGTCAGGCATCCCTGGCTGTCTGGGACAGAATTTTCCCAGGATGCTGCTTGTTCCTGAAAGGCCCTGCCAGAGTTCTGGGCTCTGGGGAACCAGGGAACCCACCCCTCTGTCTGTTGACTGCCCCCCACCTGCTGCAAACAGATCTTGCACCGGGATACTTAGCTGCTCCCTTAGCTGCTCCTTCACCCTTGACCTTGGGCCTGATTGAGTCTGGAGAGCCCCCAAGGGCCCTACATGAAGTACCAGTGTCTCTCAAAGAGCTCAGGCCCTTTGGAGTCAGACCCTCCCCCTCTGTGTGGTCCTGGGTGAGCACCTTGCCCTCTCTGAGCCTCAGAGAGATCCCTGCCTCAAGGGGCTGGATGCTGGGAGAGCCAGGTCCTCTGAAGCTGGCCCTGATGTCAGCACAGAGTGGGTGCAAGCCTCAGGGGAGAAAGGTCAAGAGAAGTGGCAGGAAAGGCCCAGCCTCCTGGGAGACCCACGGGGACCCGCCCCTTCTGCCCTTGCCCCACCGTTCTGGGATGCTCTGAGCTCAGCCTATTTCACAGGGGTTGGGAGAGGCTCTGAGCCAGCAAGTTCATCACTAGACAAATCATTTACTTCAGCTCAGCATCTTTATTACTGTGTTCGATCCCAATGTAGGGCACAGGGTTGGGGCCCGAGATACCCCAAATGAAAAATCCCTTTCCCCCACTGGGCCTCAGTTTCCCCCTCTGTCGCATGGGGAGGGAAGGTTTCCCCTGCTTCCTTCATCGATTGTGAGGTTTGAAGGCCTGGGCCTTTCAGCCAGAGTGCCCAGCACTGAGGACTGCCCCGATGGGGTCTTTGCCCTGAGGGGCTCACCATCTGCGAAGGAGACCCGTGTCCTGGCCCATCATTTGCAGCTGACAAGAAGGGCAGGTGGGTCATGGCCCAGTGACCAGGCAATGTCCAAGAGCCTCTCAGCCATGGGTCTGGCTTCACCAAGCTCGTGACACTTGATGACTGGTCTTGTGTGAGGCAGGGGTGTTGACACCACTACTTCTGGGCCGGCTTCTAAGACCCTCACACGCATCATTGTCCAAGGGGCCCCCAAGCCCAGAGGGCAGAGAGCTGAGCCCCCTTCTTCTCAGCCCTGGTGGGGTCTCAGGGTGAGCAGGCAGGACCAAGAGGGGCAGGCACAAAGGGCCTTGAGTGAGCTGGTGGCAGAGACCACGCTGGGCCATGTAAGGAAGGCTGTACAGTCTGCTTCGAGCAAGCTGTCGCATCCACAGTCAAGAAAGGCCTCGAAGAGGTGCGTCAGCAGACATGGTGGTCTTGGTCAGCTGCAGCAGCAGGATCACCTTCACCTCCAGCATCTTTAGCTGGTGGTGCCCAGTGGGGGCTCTGGGGAGGCTGGACGACTCAGGGTCACGCTGGAGAGGTTGGCAACAAAGCTCTCCCACCTTCTCCTCACCTGCTGGAAGACAGGGGGGATCAGGGCCAGGGCCCAGGCTGCAGCGGCTGAGTGGTGGGCTTCCGGTGTCGTTCCACCCACAGCCACGAGGTGGGGGTAGACCCCAGGGAGAGAAGCACTAGAGGAAGGAGGCAGGGGCCAGGAGGCTGCAGCTCCCCACAAGTGTCCGGGTCTCCCCTTTTCCCCAGGGTAAGAGCGGCACGAAACATAACTCTTGTGACTCTCGGGAGGTTGTGCTGGCTGTTCTCTTTGCTTCCTGCTACATTCACCCGCCCAACACACTATCAGATTAATCATCTTAAAACAGCTCTGACCACACCACTCCCCTGCCCTAAAACCTTCAGTGACTCCCCAGTGCCTATGAGATAAATCCCAAACGCATTCAAGGACCTCTGAAATATGGGTCCTGGGTCTCTCTCTCTCTAGCCTCCTCTCCAGACAGCTCTGTTGTCATCTTGGGGCACGGCTTCATATGTTTCTACCTCTGAACATTTGCTGCCCTGGGTCCCTCTCCTTGGAGTCCCACCCTCCTCCTGTGGCACCCTCCATCCTTCAACTGTCAGCCATACCTGTTGGTACTGCCTCAGCCACCGCCGGCTGCCTCCTCGCTGGGCTTGGATCAGCTGTTCCGTGTCCCCCATGCTCCCTGGCAGCTGCTCCTGAGCAGAAGCATCCAGCCCTTCTGTGGCTATATCGAGGCCCTGGGACCTGGACTTCTTACATCCCTCTCTGAGGCTCAGGGCCCGGCGGAGTTGGCTCTGCAGGGGCCTCTCCCAGGGCTCCTGGAGCTTTCCATAAGAAGTGCGGGGTCCTCGCAAGGACTGGCTGCGCAGCCCTGTCTGCATGGTTCTGGAGGCTGCCGGTACAGGACTGCTCCGGCCCCTCGGCAAGCCACTGGCCCTCTGAGAGGGCCTGGTGTCTCCACCTACCCAATGGGAGTTCATGGGGGCAAAGGTTGGTGCTGCTGAGCTGGCTGTCATAAACCAAAGGGCAGGCCACAGGGGCTGAGCATCTGAGTCACACTCGCCACTGCCTCACCACCTCCTGGGGTGAGGAGTGCAGGCCAAGGGATTGGATCATATTGCTTTTTCCTCCTCCTCCTCCAGGCAGCCTTCCCTGACCACCCATCCCTGAAGAGCTTGGCTTCCTCTGAACTCCTGTGGCCCTGGTTGTCCAAACCACTCATTCCATTGACACTGAGCACAGATGGCTCAACAGCAACATAGAGACAGGCTTTTAAGAATCAGGATGGCTCCAGCCCAGAACAGTCACATTCTCAGAGTCATAAAGTAGGATGGGGTTGCCAGGGCCTGGGGGAGAGGGGAGGGGCATGGAGAGTCACTGTTTCACGGCTATAGATTTTCAGTTTTCCAAGATGAGTGGAGTTCTGGAGATCGGTTGCACAATGATGTGAATGTACGTAACACCACTGAACTGTATGCTTAAAAAATGGCCGAGATGGTATATTACATGTATTTTACTACACTTAAAAATTTTTTTAAAAGAAACAAAGAGAAACAGGACAGCTCCAGGCTAGGAGTTAGGAGCTCTGCCCCTAATATTCTTGCATAGCATAGACGTTAAGAGCTCAGGCTCTGGGGACCAACTGCCTCTGGGTAGATTGTGGCTTCATCAATGGAAGCTATGTGACCTTGGACGCGTTCTTCTCCCCTCGGTTCCCTCATCTATAACAGAGACAAATAACTCAGGTGATTGTTGTGAGAATTAAATGTGATCCACAGGGCAGGTTGGGCACACAGCAAGCACTCAATAAAAGTGGATTGGTGGTATTCATTATCACGAGCAAATCTATTCCCCCAGTGGTCAGTCTCATTTTATAAAATGGGTTGTTTTGAAAAATAAAATGAAATCATGAGTGTGGATGTCTCTAAAGGCAAGACTACCAGCAGCAGCTCTTTCCCCCAAGATAGGGGAAAGAGAAAGGGGTCTTGGGCTGGGCCAGTAGATTCCTTAGAATGGTAGAACTTGATGGCTGAAGGGACCCCACGCATCTGGTCCACACTCTTTGTTGTTTTACTCACTATTTTTTTTTTTCCTTTTTATCTTTTTTACTGACCGGTAACGTGATCACAACCCTCGGTGTCACGCCCGCACTGGGGACCGGCAACGGGATTGCAACCCTCGGTGTTGCGCCCGCACCGCGCTCAACCAGTGAGCGGGAACCGGTCTCCACATGGGATCCGAACCCTCGGCGGGAGCGCTGCCACACTCCCAGGTGGCGCACTCTCCAGTGCGCCACCGGGCCGGCCCTACTCACTATTTTTTGAGCATTTTTACTGTTCCAGAACTAATCCCTCCATGGATTTCATCTAAACCTCATTGACAGTTGTACAAGGTGGGGATTGTTATCCCATTTTACAGATCAGGAAACTAAGGCTCAGAGAGATTAAGCATCTGGCCAGAGAGCATGCCCTGTAAGTGGCAGAGCTTACTGCTACCCTGGTCAGCCTGGTTATAAAGCCCATGGTTCCACCACCCTTCTCTCCTGCCCCAGCATGAGCAACAGAGGCAGCACCGGAAGCCAGGCGTCCTGCCTCCTCCGTGTTTGGGCTGCCACACAGGGCACACCCGTCTGTGGTTGGGGAAGTGCTGGCTGCAACTCTTGGCTCACCCCAGCCTTGTCCCCCTGGGCCTGGCCTGACTCTCTTTTCTCCCTCTCAGAGTTTCCAGGCCTTCCTTGGTGAAGGGTCTCAATCTCTGCCAGGTTCAGCTCCCACCAAGAGGAGCTAAGACAGGGCCAGCGGGAAGGGAACGACCCTCTGCCCCAGCCTGTCCCAAACACCAAATCTGAGCTGCACGCGAGCCTCTTTATTCCAATGCTGACCACGCTCCTAATGTTTAACCCACATGTTAAAAAGCAACACAGCCATTACACAATCTTCAACGCCTTCACCTCCACGTATTAGTCGACTCAAATCCCCACTCTCACAAAAATCTGAGACCGGGAAGAGCTTGCTGACTCATACACCTTCAAGATGTGTTGGGACGAATCACTCGCTCTTGCATCAGGCATGTAGCTTCCGATCCCCTCTGCAAGCGTGCAGTCTTAAACCATTTCCCAGATCCACTGAAGACAAGAAGGTACATGTCCCTGTCCTTCCCTCCCCACCACCTCCCCTCCATCTTCACCTGGTGAGCTCTTACTCACCTTTCAAGACCTTGCTCTGTGAATGACACCTCCCCATGAAGCCTGCCCTAAGCCCTCCAGGCTGGGGAAGGCAGGAAGTCCCTTTCCCAGCCCACTCAATACACACAGTGGCACAATTACTCCACCGGACTGGGCGTCCTTTGAAGGCTAGGACAACATCTATCTCAGCTCTGTGTCCCCGGGACCCCACACAGTAAATATTTGGTATTAAATATTGGAGACTGTTAGTTGTCTATTGCTGCATAACAAATTACCCAAAAACTTAGTGGCTTAAAACAACACCCACTTAATATCTCACGGTTTCTGTGGGTCAGGCATCCCAGCATGGCTTAGCAGGGCTCTGGCTCAGGGTCTCTCCCCGGCTACAGTCAAGGGGCTACAATCTTCTGATGGTTCTCCTGGGCTTGGCTCTGCTTCCATGCCCGCCCTCGTGGTGATTGACAGAATTTGGTTCCTTGTGGAGTGTTGGACTGAGGGCCTCAGCTTCTTGCTGGTTGTTGGCTGTTGCTACTTGGGCCTCTCCAAAGAGCAGTTCACAACGTCTCAGCTGCCTTCAATCAGAGTAAGCACATGAGAGGGTAGGACAGGAGCCGGAGTCTTTGGGGACTTCATCTCGGAAGGGACATCCTATCACTTTTGCTGTGTTCTGCTCCTTAGAGGTGAGTCCCCAGGTCCAGCCCACCCTCAACAGGAGGGGATCACACAGGGCATGAGCACCGAGAGGCTGGGATCACTGGGGGCATCTTAGAGGCTGCCTACCAAAGAGGCCTGGGATTCCAAACCCATCACATAGCCTGAGTTTAAGGCCTGGCTCTTTCATGTACTAGCTACGTGCCTTGGGTGAGTGGCTTAGCCTTACGTGCCTACAATTTCTCAGCCATCAAATGGGGATTATCCCTTATTTCATCAAATCTAAGAAGGTATCGATGGAAAGGTAGCATTATGTTATATACCATTAAGAAAGAATACCCATTGCCCATTCATTGGAAGGTTCAGCCCCATTCAGAGAGGTTAAAGTGTGGAGGAAAAAAAGCGTGCCTTGGATTAAATGAAGCGCACTAGTATCTATTTCTTAAGGTGATTCTGAGATCTAAATGACTGATGCCATTTAGGGTTGAGGTGAGGCTTAGATCTACAGGGAGGCTGCAAACTGGGGCAGCCTACGCAGCTGTTCTTTATGAGTGAGCCAGTGAAATCAATCCACATTTACCTGCTGTGGGCAATACCTTGTTTGGTGATACCCAGGGAGGAGGCCAAGGGCAGCAGGGTAGAATCTCTGTCCCTGGAAAATGAGGGATTCTCAGTACATAAAGCGAGGTGCCTTAAAAGAGATGCCAAGTGCTGAGGGTGCACGGAAGAGAAAGGGAGCCCACATCTGGCTTGGGAGTGGGAGAATCTAGGCAGTCTTCTTGGAGGAGGAGGTGTTGAAGCTCAGCCTCAAGGGCAGAGAGGATTGGCGCAGGTAGAGGTGGAGATAGGAGTCCTGCGGTGACCACAGCGTGGGAACACACAGGGTTACCCTTGGAAAGGCAGACAGAAGCCCACTCTCCAGGCCCTTGAGAGGCTGACCACCTTGGGGAGGTGACAGGGGTGTGCAGGGCCTCCATTCTGGGAGCCTTGCCTCTGCGCTGCGTGTCACCCTCACACTTTTCACATGAAATAATAGAAGCACAGTTAGTGGTGGGCCCAGAATCCAGCCCAGTTGAGTCAGGCCAGCAAATGGAATCTTCAGCAGGCGCGTGTCCCACCCTCCACGGGTGGGACCTGAGTCCTTATGTGCCCTCTGGGACAGTCAAACAGAGCATAAGCCTAAGATATATATATATATATATATATATATATATATATATATATACATAGATG